TCAGGAGAGCATTTGCAAGCGTTTGGCACCATGTTTGAATGAATTGCCAAAAGTCAGATTTTTGCTTAAATTGTGACCCGGGGCTTAGGGATTTTTCAAAAAATCTTTTCCGCCGGATAAGTGATCGAGGGCTGATTTCTTGTCCTGTGATGAAAAGACTTCTGTTTCGAATGCCAAACCTTTCGGGAGAGCATTTCCAAGCGATTGGCCCCATTTTTGAATGAATTGCCAAAAGTCATATTTTTGCTGAAATTGTGACCCGGGGCTTAGGGATTTTTCAAAAAATCTTTTCCGCCGGTTAAGTGGTCGAGGGCTGATTTCTTGTCCTTGTGATGAAAAGCCTTCTGTTTCGACTGCCAAACCTTTCAGGGAGCATTTGCAAGCGTTTGGCACCATTTTTGAGTGAATTGCCAAAAGTCAGATTTTTGCTGAAATTGTGACCCCGGGGCTTAGGGATTTTTCAAAAAATCTTTTCCGCCGGTTAAGTGGTCGAGGGCTGATTTCTTGTCTTGTGATGAAAAGCCTTCTGTTTCGACTGCCAAACCTTTCAGGGAGCATTTGCAACCGTTCAGAACCATTTTTGAATGAATTGCCAAAAGTCAGATTTTTGCTGAAATTGTGACCCGGGGCTTAGGGATTTTTTCAAAAAATCTTTTCCGCCGGTTAAGTGGTCGAGGGCTGATTTCTTGTCCTTGTGATGAAAAGCCTTCTTTTTCGACTGCCAAACCTTTCAGGAGAGCATTTGCAAGCGTTTGGCACCATTTTTGACTGAATTGCCAAAAGTCAGATTTTTGCTGAAATTGTGACCCCGGGGCTTAGGGATTTTTCAAAAAATCTTTTCCGCCGGTTAAGTGGTCGAGGGCTGATTTCTTGTCCTTGTGATGAAAAGCCTTCTGTTTCGACTGCCAAACCTTTCAGGGAGCATTTGCAAGCGTTTGGCACCATTTTTGAGTGAATTTCCAAAAGTCAGATTTTTGCTGAAATTGTGACCCCGGGGCTTAGGGATTTTTCAAAAAATCTTTTCCGCCGGTTAAGTGGTCTGAGGGCTGATTTCTTGTCCTTTGATGAAAAGCCTTCTGTTTCGACTGCCAAACCTTTCAGGGGGCATTTGCAACCGTTCAGAACCATTTTTGAGTGAATTGCCAAATGTCAGATTTTTGCTGAAATTGTGACCCCGGGGCTTAGGGATTTTTTCAAAAAAATCTTTTTCCGCCGGTTAAGTGGTCAAGGGCTGATTTCTTGTCCTTTGATGAAAAGCCTTCTGTTTCGACTGCCAAACCTTTCATGGGAGCATTTGCAAGCGTTTGGCACCATTTTTGAGTGAATTTCCAAAAGTCAGATTTTTGCTGAAATTGTGACCCCGGGGCTTAGGGATTTTTCAAAAAGACTTTCCGCCGGTTATGTGGCGGAGGGCTGATTTCTTGTTGTTTGATGAAAAGCCTTCTGATTCGACTGCCAAACCTTTCAGGTGAGCATTTGCAAGCGTTTGGCACCATTTTTGAGTGAATTGCCAAAAGTCAGATTTTTGCTGAAATTGTGACCCCGGGGCTTAGGGATTTTTTCAAAAAACTCTTTTTCCGCCGGTTAAGTGGTCGAGGGCTGATTTCTTGTCTTGTGATTAAATGCCTTCTGTTTCGACAGCCAAACCTTTCAGGGGAAAATTTGCAACCGTTCAGAACCATTTTTGAGTGAATTGCCAAAAGTCAGATTTTTGCTGAAATTGTGACCCGGGGCTTAGGGATTTTTACAAAAAATTTTTTCCGCCGGTTAAGTGGTAGAGGGCTGATTTCTTGTCCTTTGATGAAAAGCCTTCTGTTTCGACTGCCAAACCTTTCAGGAGAGCATTTGCAAGCGTTTGGCACCATTTTTGAGTGAATTGCCAAAAGTCAGATTTTTGCTGAAATTGTGACCCCGGGGCTTAGGGATTTTTTCAAAAAATCTTTTCCGCCGGTTAAGTGGTCGAGGGCTGATTTCTTGTCCTTGTGATGAAAAGCCTTCTGTTTCGACTGCCAAACCTTTCAGGGAGCATTTGCAAGCGTTTGGCACCATTTTTGAGTGAATTGCCAAAAGTCAGATTTTTGCTGAAATTGTGACCCCGGGGCTTAGGGATTTTTTCAAAAAATCTTTTTCCACCGGTTAAGTGGTCGAGGGCTGATTTCTTGTCCTGGGATAAAAGCCTTCTGTTTCGACTGCCAAACCTTTCAGGGGAGCATTTGCAAGCGTTTGGCACCATTTTTGAGTGAATTGCCAAAAGTCAGATTTTTGCTGAAATTGTGACCCCGGGGCTTAGGGATTTTTTCAAAAAATATTTTCCGCCGGTTAAGTGGTCGAGGGCTGATTTCTTGTCCTTTGATGAAAAGCCTTCTCTTTCGACTGCCAAACCTTTCAGGGGAGCAGTTGCAAGCGTTTGGCACCATTTTTGAGTGAATTTCCCAAAGTCAGACTTTTGCTGAAATTGTGACCCCGGGGCTTAGGGATTTTTTCAAAAAATATTTTCCGCCGGTTAAGTGGTCGAGGGCTGATTTCTTGTCCTTTGATGAAAAGCCTTCTGTTTCGACTGCCAAACCTTTCAGGGGAGCATTTGCAAGCGTTTGGCACCATTTTTGAGTGAATTGCCAAAAGTCAGATTTTTGCTGAAATTGTGACCCCGGGGCTTAGGGATTTTTCAAAAATATTTTCCGACGGTTTAGTGGTTGAGGGCTGATTTCTTGTTGTTAGATATAATGCCTTCTGATTCGACTGCCAAACCTTTCAGGGGAGCATTTGCAAGCGTTTGGCACCATTTTTGAGTGAATTGCCAAAAGTCAGATTTTTGCTGAAATTGTGACCCCGGGGCTTAGGGATTTTTTCAAAAAATATTTTCCGCCGGTTAAGTGGTCTGAGGGCTGATTTCTTGTCCTTGTGATGAAAAGCCTTCTGTTTCGACTGCCAAACCTTTCAGGGGAGC